TCCCTAATTAGACCATGCTCTTCCAAATGTGTGTCAATCCTATGCCTAAGAATTCTCTCCAATAGCTTCGCAGCCACTGATGTGAGACTCAGTGGTCTGTAGTTTCCTGCATTAACCTTATTTCCCTTCTTGAACAGAGGAATAACTTTGCTACTCGCCAGTCCTCCAGGCTGTCTCTCCTGGCTAGCAAGGATACAAAGATCTTGGTCAATCCCCTAGCAATCTCCTTTCTTGCGTCTCTCAAAAACAGGATAAGCCCTGGGGACTTATCCACCTTAATGTTCTTCAAGAGATCTAACTTGTTTCTTCATCTCAAAATGCCCCAGCATATTAGCATGCTCCACACAAAACTCATTATCCTCCAAGTCATTTTTCTGGGTGAATACCTATACAAGGTACTCATCTCACCCACATTCTCTGTCTCCAAGCACAAGTTCCCTCCTTTAGCTTTTGAGTGGTCCTACCTTCTCCCTAGTTACCCTCTTAGTTTTAATGTATCGACACAATGCCTTGGGATTGTCTTTAACCCTACTTGCCAAGGTCATTTCATGGCCCCTTCTTGCTCCCCTAATTTCCTGCTTGAGTACTTTCCTGCTTTCCTTATATTCCTCACAGGCCCTGTAAAATTTTAGCTTCCTAAAACTTACATATGCTACTTATTTTTTTCCCTTTTCACTAAATTCACAAACCTCTCTCATTATCCAAGGGTGCCTTACCTTGCCATCATTATCCTTCCTCCTTACTGCCACTCTTCAGCTCTCCCCAGAAGGTCTTTAAACATTTCTACCTTTCAAATGTGGACTTGCCTGATAACAGCTCCTTCCAATTAACACTCACTAGCTCCTGCCTAGCACTGGCGTAATTTTCCCTCCCCCAATTTATTAACTTCCCGCAAGGTCCTGATTTATCCTTGTTCATAGCTATCTTAAAACAGAAGCACCTGTGATCACTGTTTCCAAAAGACTCTCTGACTGAATAGTCAATACAAGATCCAATATGGACCCTCTTCTCGTGCAATGTTAGACTTAAGTCATTGGAGCAGAAGTTAGGCCATTCGGCCCATTGAAACTGCTCATCTATTCAATCATGGCTGATAAGTTTCTCAACCCCCTTCTCCTGCCTTCTGTACACAACCTTTGATCCCCTTGACAATCAAGAATCTATCTATCTCTGTCTTAAAAATATTCAATGACCTGGCCTCCACAGCCTTCTGTGGCAATGAATTCCATAGATTCACGACTCTCTGGCTGGAGCAATTTCTCCTCGTTCTTTACTCTAAGGCTGTGCCCTCAGGTCCTAGTCTCTCCTGCCAATGGAAACATATTTCCAACGTCCAGTCTATCCAGGCCTTTCAGTACTTTGTAAGTTTCAATTTGATACCCCCTTATCCTTCAAAACTCCATTGAGTAAATACTTAGAGTCCTCAAACATTCCTCATATGTTAAGCCTTTCATTCCTGGGATCATTCTCGTGAACCATCTCCGGACCCACGTCAAGGCCAGTGTATCTTGCCTGACGTATGGGGCCCAGAATTGCTCACAATATTCTAAATGTGGACTGACAAAAGCTTGAAATAGCCTCAAAATTGCATCCATGATTTTATATTCTCGTCCTCTCAAAATAAATGCCAACATTGCATTTGCCTTCCTAACTACCAACTCAACCTGCAAGTTTACCTTAGGAAAATCTGGACTAGGATTCCCAAGTCCCTTTGCACTTCAGATTTCTGAATTTTCTCCCAATCTAGAAAATAGTCTCCGCTTTTATTCTTCCTACCAAAGTGTATGACCTCATACTTGTCCAGATTGTATTTCATCTGCCACTTCTTTGCCCACTGTCCTAAGCTGTCTAAATCCTTTCGCAGCCTCCCTACCACCTCAGTACTACCTGTCTCTCCACCTATCTTTGTATCATCACTGAACTCAGCCAGAATGCCCTCAGTTCCTTCATTTAGATCATTGATTTATAAAGTGAAGAGTTGTGGTCCCAACACTGACCCTTGTAGAACTTCACTTGTCACTGGCTACCATCCAAGAAGGACCCTTTTATCCCCACTCTCTCCTTCCTGCCAGACAGCCATTCTTCTGTTCATGCTAGTGCCTTGCCTCCAACACCATAGGCCCTTATCTTACTCAGCAACTTCTTGTGCAGCACCTTGTCAAAGGCCTTCTGCCAGTCCAGGTAGGTAACATCCATTGGCTCTCCTTAGTCTAACCTGCCTGTTACCTCCACAAAAAATTCCAACAGATTTGTCAGGCAACCATGCTGACTGTGCCCTATTTTGCCATGCACTTCCAAGTATTCAGAAATTTTATTCTTCACAATGGACTCAAAATCTTACCAATGACTGAGGTCAGACTAATCGGCCTGTAATTTCCCATTTTTTTTCCTTACTCCCTTCTTAAACTGGGGTTACTTTAGCGATTTTCCAGTCCTCTGGCTCCCTCCCTGTCTCCAGTGATTCCTGAAAGATCACCACTAACACTTCCACTATCTCTTCAGCTATCTCCTTCAGAATTCTGCGGTGTAGTCCATCTGGTCCAGGCGATTTATCCACCTTCAGTCCTTTCAGTTTTTCTAGCACCTTCTCCTTGGTGATGGACACCATACTCACTTCTGCTCCCCGACTCCCTTGAATTTTTAGATGTGACTCATTACTTGTACCTTGAAGACTGATGCAAAGTATTTATTCAGTTCTTCAGCCATTTCTTTGTTCCCCATTACTACTTCTCCAACGTCATTTTCCAGCAGACCAAAGCCCATTTTTGCCTCTCTTTTGCCATTTGTATGTTGAAAGAAACTCTTGCAATCTTCCTTCATATTACTGTTCTCCCTCCTTATTTCTTTTATTGGTTGTAACTGGGTACAAAACACTTAGGTACAAAGAAATAAAAGAAACAAAGTTTAATAAGTTAACAATTACAGACCTTCATAGAATAAGTAGGAAAATAAAGAAATAAGGTAATAGTTAACATTGAAGTATTTCTTAATATAAACTAGAGAAATAAAGGAATCAAGTGAAAAGTTCAGCAGTTTTTAACGAGTGCTTGCTGGCCCCCAGTCTCCTCTGCACAGCTCGCTCTCTGTGGGACCTCAGCTGCCTATCCTCATGGCTGACGCTGCAAATGCCCAGGAACCCTCCTCACTGCTTGCTCTTCCCACATCAGGCTGTGATACCATCGCAGCTGCTGCTGCCTCTGGTCCCCTGCTGCCCCTGGAACATGTCCAGGCAGAAGCCGCTTGCAGTTCTGCTCACTGGGTAGGCATTGGGCCCTGCTCTTTCCACCAGCTACCTTGGACGTTGGGTTTGAGAGATTGCTATGGGCTGCTGAATGCCTCCCATCCCGGGCTGGGAAGCCACCACGCTGGGCTGAGAGGAAACCTAGCTGAGTCCCGGAGAAGAAAATAGAAAAGAAACACAAAGACAGAAAAGAGAAAAATGAAAAAAGAGAATGAAATGGACAGAGTGGATGGGCTGTGGCTAAAATGTTCTGCTCTGTCGCCATCTTGAAGTGGGTTCGGAAAAGAAGGAGAGACTTTAAAATTATAATGTGGGACTGACAAAGGATGAATTGTTTCTTGGTACAAAAATGAAAAGTATTTCACTTACACATGTTTTATTGATTCTGAAATATTTGTGATCAGTGAAACTGATCGGTATTATCACTGTGTGGTATATAGCACATTGCAAAAAAAAACTGAAATTGTTGAAGATATCGTCACTGGTAAGTGAACTTTGACTCTCATTTACATAGAAAGCTACATGGAAGTGGAGTGCATAGTATTCAAAGAACGAAGAACAGGACAGCACAGGAACAGGCCCTTCAGCCCCAAAAGACTGTGCCAATACATGATGCCTTTGTACACTTAAACCCTTTTGCCTCTAAGCTGTCCATATCCCTCTATTCCTTGCCTGGTCATGTATCTGTGAAGATGCCTCTTAAACGCTGCTGTTGGATCCACCTCCACCACCTCCTCTGGCAGTGCACTTCAGGCACTTACCAACATTTGTGTAAAAAGAACTTGCCTTTCACATCTCCTTTAAACTTTTCCCCCTTTTACCTTAAGCTTACATCCCTTGCAGAATCAAAAGGCTGCATGACCTCATTCTGATCCTACATCTTGTGGACCTTCAATACAGTTTTGGTCCCCTGACCCGAGGAGGAGCCATGAGCCCATAAGAAGTAGGAACAGTATTATGCCATTTGGCCATCGATTCCTCTCCACCTTTCAATGTGATAAGCCCCCATGACCTAATTCTGATCCAACATCTTATAGTCTTGAGGTCTTATCTCATTGAAAGGTGGAGGGGACTCAGCGGTCAAATGGCATCCTCTCGTTCCTGTTTCTTGTGGTCTGAGAATGATTAAATCCCTACAGTGGGGAAGCAGACCATTCAGTCCATCAAGTCCACACTGACCCTCTGAAGAGCATCCACCAAGGCCCATCCCATCCCGAGAACCCTGTATTTCCTGTGACTAATCCACATTAACCTGTATATCCCTGGATAGATGATGGGCAATTTACCATGGCCAATCTACCTAACTTGCACATCTTTGGACTTTCTCTTATTTCATTTTTCCCTTTTCTCTCTTTGTGTTTCTTTTCTTTTTTCTTTGGACTGTGGGAGAAAACTGGAGCACCTAAAGGAAACTCTCACACAAAGGGAGAATGTGCAATCTCCACACAGTCACCCAACGGTGGAATTGAACCCAGGACGCTGGCGCTATGCGGCAGCAGTGCTAACCACTGAGCCTCCGTGATCCCCTGTCTTATGGATCCTCCTCAGGTCAGGAGAGCAAATCTATATTCAACACTCCAGCTAAGCTGCAAACAAATTGATAGTAGTTGTCCAGACTGGATTGTATAAAATGTTGGGGATAGGTTGGCGGGACTGATGCTTGAAAATCCATTTTGGAAACAATGTGATAACGAATGTTGTAGGAGCAGTTCCCAGTGTAATGAAAGCTGTAATGATGTGACTTTGCTTTCAATCTTAGCTGGACGTGTGGCTTTCTATGTTGTCCCAGTTTCACCATTGGAAGGAGAGACACTGGAACTGAATTGTCAGGACCAATACTATTATTGGTGGCCAAAGAAGGACTTTACCTTTTATAGAAATGAAAAGAAGATCCATTCGATAAAGTCTAAAACAGATGAGTCTTCATATCACATTAAAGTAAACAGCACCAATGACAGTGGACAGTACAGTTGCAAAATTGATGGGTCAGAATCACAATATGTTCACGTTCAAGTTCAAGGTACGTACCTGATGTTCCATTCTGTGGTAGACAATGTGCATATTTCTCTTGATTTTTGATTTAAACACTGGAGGTATTCTAAATCACATTGTACAGCAGAATCCCTTTAGCCCATCATGTCTGTACTGCTAAAGTGACACTAGTTCTTTTTTCCCCAGCACCAGCCCTCCACAGCCTTGAATGTTATGACACTTGAAGTGCTCAGCCAAGTACCCTTTAAATGTTTGGGAGTTTCCCACCTCAACTATCCTCCCAGGCAGTGCATTCCAAACTCCACCATCCTTTGGGTAAAACCATCCTCAAATTCCCCTCTAAACCTCCTGCCTTTCATTTTAAAATGATATCCTGCCTTGTTATTAACCCTTTGAATAAGGGGAAAACCTGCTTCTTATCCCCTCTGTTTACGCCCCTCATCATCTTACACACCCCGATCAGGTCCCCCCTCAGCCTTCTCTTCTCCAAAGAAAAGAACCCGAGCTTACTCAGCCTCTCTTCATCGCCAAAATGCTCCATCCCAGGCAACATACTGGGGAATCTCCTCTGCAGCCCTTCCAGTGCAATCACATCCTTTCTGCGGTGATCCCGACGGCCACACAGTGCTCCAGCTGTGGCCTGTTCAAAGTCCTATTCAGCTCCAACATCACCTCCCCACTTTTATAATCTATGCCTTGACTGACAAAGGCAAATGTCCCATATGCCTTCTTACTGGCCCTGTTAACCTCTCCTGCCTTTTATGGTTTATGAGCAACGGGAAAGGTAGTAGGGTCGCCAAGGTCCCACTGTCTCATTACTGAGAGAGGGGAGTGGGAGGTGGTTTAACCTGAGGGTCACCGCACCTCAGGCAAGGAGAGAGGTTGAGAAGGAGATTCCATCGTGGTCACTCCAGCCAGTGTGGGAATTGAACCCCAAACTGTTGGAATCATTGTGGATCACAGACCAGCTAACCAGCCAACTGAGCTCGCCAACACACAGCAATGGAATCTTCTCTCATCCTTCTAAACTCTGACCAACCTGCTCAATCTCCCCTCATTAGACAAGCCTTAGTCTCTCTGGAGTCTGAGAAAGTTGCAATCTGCAGATGTGATCCATGTCAATGGTTGTGATACATCGTCACCAAATAGAGTCATACAATCACACAGCATGGAAACATGCCCTTTGTCCTCACTCACCCATGCTGACCAGGTTTCCCAAAGTGAACTCGTCTCATTTGTCTGCGTTTGGCCCATATCCCTCTAAACGTTTCCAATCATTTATCCATCCAAATGTCTTTTAAATGTTGTAATTGTACTCGCCTCCACAACTTCCTCTGGCAGTTTGTTCCATGCATGCACCACCCGCTGTGTGAGAAAGTTACCCCTCATGTCCCTTTTAAATCTTTCCCCTGTCACCTTAAACCTCTAGGTTTGGATTGCCCTAACCTGGGAATTTGATTATTTACCTCATCTATGCCCCTCATTTATTTTCGACCTTAATGGTCACCCATCTGCCTCCAATGCTTCAGCTGATGCAGCCTCTCCCAGTAGCTCAAACCTCTTTTTGTTTTCGGGAATCCTGGGATGGGAGCAAGGCAAATGTTTATCCACCTCATGTCTCTATATAACTTTGTCCTATGGTCTTTCTCTACCTCTGTGTGAATATCTGAGGTATTTGAATTAGAAAGTTTTGGAGGGCGATAGGCCAAATGGTCGTAAATTGAAGATCAGCTTAGGAAACAGGGTTGGCAAGGACGAGTTGGGCAGAAGGGCCTTTTTCTATGATTTTTTTACTCAATGGCATTGAGACAGAATTTCAAATTTGGAAAGCAAGAGAAGGATAAAGTTTTGCATTCTCCCCTGACATTTGTCACTAAATGCTCACCTTCTTTGCCCCTCATCACCACTGCATCTTTCGCTCTGTGATTATAACAGTTGATTGATGAGCCCCGATTGTGTGTTACATTCCAGAACGCTTTGCCAAGCCCGTACTGAGGGTGGAGCCGGCAACAGAAGTATATGAGGGGCTCCAGGTCACGTTGATGTGCATTGCTCAGACAGGGCGCCCCTCCATCCGGCTTCACTACACATTTTACAGAGATGGCAGCACCCTGGAGACAGCGCCGGATGATCGTATTGTGTACACCATCAATGCAGCAGCTGCAAACGTTTCTGGGAATTACGCCTGCGAAGCGATCGAGACAAATTATGGTCTGAGGAAGAGGAGTGACAATGTTCACCTTTCCGTTAAACGTAACTATCTCTCATTATTACACAGTCCCCAGCACAAGTTAAAGGCCTTTCAACCCATTGAGTCAGAAACAGCCATCTCACTATTCTCTAATCCCCATCTTCCCAGCACTTGGTCCTGTAGCCTTGGCATCACGAGGGCACATCTAAATCCTCCTTCAGTGCAATCAGGGTTTCTGCCTCTCTCACCCTTACAGGCAGTGAGTTCCAGATCCTGTGAGTGAAAATGTTTTTCCTCGCATCCCCTCTAAACCTCCTGCTCCTCATCTTTCATCTATCCATGCATCACCTGGGTCATTGATCCCTGCACCAAAGGGGAAAAGGTTTTTCCTATCTACCCTATCCATGCTCCTCATTATTTTATACATCTCAATCATATTCCCCTCTCTCAATCTCCTCTGTTCTAAGGAAGACAACCCAATCTGTTCAATCTCTCTCCATCACTGAAACTCTCCAGCCCCCAAGGCAGCCTCCTGGTAAATCTCCCTCTGTACTCTCTCCCACTGCAATCCCGTCCTTCTGATAATGTGGATTCCAGAACCGGACACAGTCCTCTTGCTGTGGTTGTACATATTCATTCCAAATGCAATCGTGGTCATCACCAAATCTGAGCTCGAACTGACATGATGCAAAAAGCCTTGATTGGGAGTCTCCCGCGCTGATCTTGTCTCAGGATTTTTTTGCTCTAATTCTGATCACTGAGCTTTCCCAAGCTCAGACACTCTACAGTTGAAACGGAAACATGTCCTTCTGCTTTCCAGAGGCGTTCGCTGTCCCTAAGCTGACCGTGCATCCTGAGGGACAGCTAGTTGATGGCCAATGGTTTAAGCTGATGTGCTTGGTTGAAGAGAATCTCTCCGAAGCTTCCTTGCGGTATGGCTTCTACAGAAATGGGATCCCTCTCCAGTCTCCGTCCCACCACAACGATTCCATCTCTGAGTCAGCTCGTCCGGCCAACTCGGGTACTTACCATTGCGAAGTCATGGGCGGTAAAGTGCGGAACCGCAGTAATCAGCTCCATTTGTCGATCAGGCGTGAGTACCGTTTATTATCCTTTCCTTTTTTTTTATCTGTTAAAGATTCTGAATAGAGACAAATTATAATCACTTATGCGCCTCACAACCATATATGGGAGACCAAGAGCCAAACAGCACAGGGTAATGGGTTAACTATTTAGGACTGAGATGAGGAGAAATGTCTTCACCCAGAGAGTGGGGAGTCTGCGAGATTCACTGCCGCAGAAAATTATGGAAATATATGTAGTAGTAGGCCATTTGGCCCTTCCAGCCTGCTCCATCAGTTCAATGGGATCATGGCTGGTCATCCAGTTCGGTCCCCTGATTCCCTGCATTTGCCCCTAAAAACTCGATCCAGCTCCTTCTTGTGGAGGTGCTAGTGTTAGACTGGGATGGGCAAGGTCAGAAGTCACATGACACCTGGTTGTAGTCCAACAGGTTTATTTGAAATTCCAAGGTTTCGGAGCATAGCTCCTTTGTCAGGTGAAGTGAAGAAAAACATACAGGCAGAGACCTTGGAGGCAGAGAGATCAATGGGCATGTTAATTTTTATCCATTTGAGAGATGTGGGTATCGCTGTCTGCGCCAGCATTTGTTGCCTATCCTTAGTTGTCCCCTTAAGAAGGTTTTGAATGGAGTTCCCTTCTTCAACCACTGCCGTCCATTTACAGTAGTTAACCCCACCATGCTCTTAAATGATAAACTTCTGAATTTATCCCATCAAAACTGAAGGGCTGCATCCATATTTCCACGTCAGGATGGTGAGTGGCTCAGAGGTAACTTACAGGGGATGGTGTTCCAATGTGTCTGCTGCCCTTGTCCTTCGAGATGGAAGTGGACATGAGTTTGGAAGGTGCTATCTGAGGATCTTTGGTGAATTTCTGTATTGCATTTGTAAACAGTATACACTGCTGCTAATGAGCATTGGGGCTGGCGGTAGTGGGTGCTTGTGGATATGCCAATCAGGCAGGGGCTGCTTTATCCCTGAATGGTGTTGAGCTTCTCAAGTGTTGTTGGAGCTGCATCTATCCAGGCAAGTGGGGGATATTCCAACATCGTCCTGATATGTGCCTTGTCAATGGTGGACAGGTTGTGGGGGAGTGAGGAGGTGAGTTACTCACTGCAGTTCAGGTTCTGGTCAATGATAACCCCTTGGACGTTAACGGTGGGGGTGGTGGGGAATCAGTGCTGGTAATGCCATTGAAAGTAAAGAGGCACTAATTAGATTCTCTGTTGATGGTAGCCCATGCCCCCATATCCTCCCCCGCCAGGATGTTGAGAATGGGCAGATTCGGTGATGGTAATACAATTGAATATTACAAGGCAGTGTTTAGATTTGGTCTCATTGGAGATGGTCATTTCCCACCATTTGAGTGTTGTGAATGTTATTCACCACTTGTTGTGAATGTTTCAAGCTGATCTTCTACACTGATTTTCTGGGCTCTTCTGTCATCAAGGAAGGGCATATTTTTGGAACTTCCTCTCAAATGGAAGATATGAGGGAGCTGAGCTCTTTTGCTTCTTTTAAAACAAGAATTTTGGAGATGTCCAGAAGAGAGAGGACCAGAATTAGATCATTCAGCCCATCACATCTGCCAGACTAACTTGAATGGATCTTGTGTTAGATGAGGACCAAACTGGATTTTATATATTAAGTTGCTTTAGGAAACATTATATTTCCAGAAGATTAATTTCTTCAGATCAAAGTAATTGCTGAAAAAGTGAACAGGGGAGCACGAGACTGTTCGTGTTAGGCAAAGATCAGTGCTGGGATCTCTATTGTAAATGTTGTGGATGCAAATGTCCGTGGTCTGATTAATAAGTTTGCAGATGACTTGAAAATGGGTGGTGTTGTGGATAGTGAGGAAGGTTATCGAAGAATATAGATCAGCTGGACATTTGGGTGGAGAAATGGCAGATGGATTTTAGTATGGACTAGTGTGAGGTGATGTATTTTTGGGTGGATAACTGCTAAAGGAAAGTATACAGTAAATGGAAGGACCCTTAGGAACATTGATACACAAAGAGATCTTCGGATGCAATTCCATAGCTCCCTGAAAGTGGCAACACGAGAGATAAGGCAGTGAAGAAGGCATATAGCATGTTTGCCTCAATTGGTTGGGGCATTGAGTATAAAAGCTGGCAAGTCATGCTGCAGCTGCATGAGACTTTAGTTCTGCCACATTTGGAGTATTGTGTGCAGTTCTGGTCCCCACGTTATAGGAAGGATGTGGAGAGGGTGTAAAAGAGTTTACCAGGATGGTGCCTGGATTGGAGAGTATTAGTTATAAGGACAAGTTGGACATACTTGGATTGTTTTCGCGAGAGCATCGGACGCTCAGGGATGATCTGATCGAACTATATAAAATTCTGAGAGGTACGGGCATGGTGAATAGTCTGAATCTTTCTCCCAGGGTGGAAATATCTATTATTAGGGATGGGGGACATAATTTTAAGGTGTGATAGGGAATGTTTAGAGGAGATGTGTCAGGAAAGGTTTTTACACAAAAAGTGATAGGTGCCTGACACATGTTGCCAGGGGAGATGGTAGAAGCACATACGAGTACAATGTTTAAGATGCATTTAGACAGACACAGGAAGTAGTAGGGAATAGAGAGATAGCAGCTATGTGCAGGCAGATGGGATTAGTGTAGAACGGCAGCTTGGTCAGGCACAGACATGGTGGGCCAAAGGACTTGTTCTTGTGCTGTACTATGAATTCGGAGACTGAGATCATGTTCTATGCTCGAATCTCGCCGTGGCAGATGGTGGAACTTGAATTCAATTGAAGAGAGAATCTATGTGACTCTAGCCCCACAACCTCCAACTGCTGTCTGTGCTGTTAGGGACAGGTGATAAATGCTGGACTACCCAGTGACATGCACATCTAATGAATGAATAGGGAAAAAAGGATATGAGAATGGATGTGACTATGATGTGGTTCATAGTTGAATTTACAATTAACTCTGCCAAATGAAGGGACCTAACATTTGTCTACATTTGCAGGAATTCCAGTGTCAAAACCAGAACTAATAATTCAACCCAGAAAGAAGCTAATCGAAGGATTCTTAATCTGTTCAGTCTCCAATGGTTCTCTGCCGATTTATTACCAATTCTACAAGGGTTCAAGCATCAAAATGTACTGGGAACTTTCCAACAGTACCAAGCTTGTTTACAACATCGAAGGCATCAGCAGAAGGGACAAAGGGATTTACCATTGCTCGGTGAGAAATGAGGTGACAGGCCCTCTGCACAGTGAAGAAGTAGAGATCACAGTGACAGGTGAGTTCACAAGGACTCACTCCCAAAGAGTAACTGAACCATCGCCTCAGGGACTACTGCTGGTGTGATCAGCTCAAAGTTGGTGCTTCATCCTTGAAGACGACACTTTTGACTCACGCGATGCAGCCTTGGATATTAGAGTCATAGAGATATTCAGCATGGAAACAGGCCCTTTGGCCCAACATGCCCATGCTGACCAGATTTCTCAAACTGAACTAGTCCCACTTGACTGTGTTTGGTTCACGTCCCTCTAAACCTTTCCTATCTGTCTCCCTGTCCAAATGTCTTTTAAATGTTGTCATAGCACCCATTTCCACTATTTCCTCTGCCAGATTGTTCCATACACGAAACAGCCTCTGTGTGAAAACATTTCTCCTCGGGTCCTTTTCCCTCTGACCTTAAACCTATGCCCTCCAGTATTACACTCCCCTACCCAAGGAAGCGACCTTGGTTTTATTCACCTTATCTATTCCCCTCATGATTTTATAAATCTCCATGAGGTCACCCCTCAACCTCCTATACCCCAGGAGAGAGAAGTCCCAGCCTATCCATCCTCTTGTTATAACTCAAAACTTCCAGTCTTGGTAACATCCTTGTAAATCTTTTTGCACCCTTTGCAGTTGAATTGTAGCAGGGCAAATTGAATTGTACACAGTACTCTAAATATGGCCTCATCAATGTCCTGTACAGCCGTAATATGACGTCCCAACTCCTATACTCAATGCTTTGACCGATGAAGGCAAGCGTGCCTAACGTTGTCTTCAACACCCTGTCTATCTGCAACTCCACTTTCAAGGAACTATATACCAGAGTCCCTAAGTCTCTAGGTTCAGTACCACTCCCCAGGGCACTCCCATTAACTGTCAAAGTCCTGCCCAGATCTGCCTTACCAAGATGTAACATCTTTCATTTATCTGAATTAAGCACCTTAGAGAGGGAAAATGGAACTGGGTAAATAAATTCGAGGAGTTCAATCCATTTCTTAAAGTTTGTTACGTCAAAAGTTTGGCTCCGAGAATATAGGAGCACTCAGTGCTTCAAGTCTGCTTAACCATTCAACATGACCATGGCAGATTATACAATTCTACATCCTGTTAACAAAGAACCATAGGAAGCAGGAACTGGAGTAGGCTATTTGGCCCTTCCAACCTGCCCCGCCCAATCATTGGGATTGTGGCTGATCATCCAACTCAGTCCCTTGTTCGCTGCTTTCCCCCTTTAGTCCTTAAGAACTCTATCCAACTCATTTCTGAATAACATTCAATGTTCTGTCCCTGACTGCTTTCTGTGGCAGAGAATTCCACAGACTTCCCATTCTCTGGGTGAAGCCATTTCTCCCCATCTCAATCCTACCACGTCCCCTTTAGGCTGTGACTCCCTGGTTCTGGACTCCCCACACTGTTCATCAAGAACATCCTTCCTCTGTTTACCCTATCTACACCTCTTAGAATTTTTAAGGTTTTTTATGAGGATCCATGCCTCCCCTCATTCTTCTAAACTCCAGCCAGTTTCACCTTCATTCCACCCAGAATAGATTCTACACCATAAGATTCGAGATCACGCTTATTGCTGTCATTCATATTCCATGTCATACAGAGCTACATCACCCACACTGCCTCCCACCCTGTCATTTCCAAAAGTCTTTCCCACCCCCTGAATATTTGTTTGGATATTTCACTGGAGAACCAACTCCTGTCCCGATCTCTCCTGGTCTTCTGACCAAAATATCAAAGAGTGTTACATTAATGAACAAAGTGTTGATTGTGGACAGAACACCAGGCGTTTAGAGAGTAAAGGGAGGTGATCGGTCAAGTGTCGATGATTATCAGGGTGAGTGGGTGTTTTTGAGTGTTTGTTTATTGAATTGCGATTTAGGAAGAATACTGTCAAAAAAAACAAATTTCTGAGAAGGGAGTGATTTGCTGAGCCCTTTCGGAGGGCAATTAGAAATAATTCCCTTCACTTTTGGTTTGGAGTCACATGGAGTTCCAGGCTTGGGAAGGATGGCTGATTTCCTTCTCCTAACGATATCCTTTTGTCTCTGTTCAGCAGGATTTCAAGAGCCATCCAGTTTCACCATGTCTGAGGTCGTTTCTCACTTCCTGATTCTAAGAACGAACTGAACTTAAATTATATACAACAAACAGGGTGCAATGTTTGGTGAATGATGAGAGAAATACCATCAACATTAAGAGTTATTTATTCACTTGTGGGACATGGGCTCAGCCCAGTATTTATTGTCCCTGTCCCTAGATGCCCCATTGAGAAGCTGGTGGTGAGCTGCTTTCTTGAACCACTGCAGTCCATGTGTTGTAGGTAGATCCACAGTGTCCTGAGGGAGGGAATTCCAGGAATTTGACCCAGCGACACTGACCGAATGGCTGACATATTTCCAAGTCAGGATGGTGTGTGGTTCAGAGGGTAACTTGCAGGAGGTGGTGTTCCCACGTATCTGCTACCCTTTTCCTTCTATATGGAAGTGGATGTGAGTTTGAAAGGTGCTATCGAGAGAATCTTTGTTGAATGTCTGCAATGCATTTTGTCGATGGTACACACTGCTGCTACTGAGCATCGGTGATGGAGGGAGGGATGCTTGTGGATCTAGTGCCAATCAATCAGGCTGCTTTGTTCTGGGTGGTGTTAAGTTTCTTGAGTGTCCAGGCAAGTGGGAGTATTTCATCACACTCCTGATTTATGTGTGGTCGATGGGGGCAGGGTTTAGGAAAGTAGGATGTGAATTATTGACTGCAGGATTGCCAGTCTCTGACTTGCTCCTGTACTACAGTATTTATTTGGCTATAATCCGGTTTAGTTTCTGGTCAATGATAAATTCCAGGATGTTGATAACGGGGAAATTCAGTGATGATAACACCATTGAATGATCAAGGAGCGACGGTTACTTTCTGGAGTGCTGTGTGCATTTCTGGTCACCTCATTACAGGAAGGATGTGGTAACACTGGACGAGGGACAGAGAAGGTTTGCCAGATGCTTCCTGGGTTGTAGTTATAAAGCTAGAAGAGGGGACAAAATCGGCTTGGATTGTTTTCTTTTGAGCAGAGAAGACTGAGGAGGGACATATTTGAGCTGTTTATAATGATGAGGGGTTTGGACAGAGTGAAAAGAATGAAAGTGTTTCTCTCTTGAGGGGTCAATCACAAGGGGGCATAGTTTTACGTCAGGGGCAGGAGATTCAGTGGGGATTTGAGAAAAAAAGTCTTTTTCACTCACAGGATGTTGCAAATCAGGAATGCACTGCCTGGGAAGGTAATGGAGGGCAGAAAGCTTCCAACCTCTAAAATATACTTGGATGAGCACTTGACATAACATTCAAGGATATGGGACACGTGCAGGAGATGGGATTCGCGTGCCTTTTGTTAGTGGCAGTTATTGTCGGTGCCGACTCAATGGGCCGAAGGGCCTTTTCTACGACGTATGACTCAATGACTCTCTCAATGGTTCCTCCCCAGGAAGTTGACATTGGGGTATTCAGTGATGACAACAACATTGAACATCAAGGGACAGTGGTTAGATCCTTTCAATGGTAACCCCCGCCCTCCCGCCCGGGTGTTGGTAACTGGAATGGAATTAAAGTCTGCATTAGCTTTTGAGTCCATCGAACTGCTTAACTCTTTTAAATTATTTGCATTAAACTGGTCCCCACTGATAGCCTCAATCGATGGGCGAACTTCATGGTTTTTGAACTCGGTGTGTTTTCTCCTCAGTTCCTGTCACAGATGCTGTGCTGATATCCCGCACCAATGGGACTGAGATACAGCCCGGGGACCGCCTTGTTCTCCGGTGCCTGGTGAGGGAAGGCACTGAGCCCCAGTTCATTTGGTACCGTGACAACGTGCCGCTAAGAAACGGCAGTGCGAGCTCCCATGTGACTGCCGATGGTGGTGAGCTGGTTATTCATTCATTCCGGAGAGACAATGTCGGGAGCTATCACTGTGCAGCGATCAACGAAGGAAACAACGGCACCATTTTTAACGTGACCAGTGACTATATCGAATTCACGCTGCGAGGTAACAGTGACAGTCAGATCAAATATAGACAGAGCACAGAGAGAGGCCATTCGCTCCATCCAGTCAGAAACAATGAACCATCTCAATTGGGAAGGTGACGGCTGGGTGGTATTATCGTGAGGTTATTAATCCAACTACCTTGGTCATGTTCCCAAGATCCCAGTTCAAATCCCGTTCATACCCGATGGTAGAATTTGAGTGCAATAAAAATCTGGAAGAATAAGTCTTATGGAGAGGTGCTTGCAGAGGAGATTCAACAGGATGTTGCCCTGGGGTGGAGCATTTCAGCGATGAAGAGAGGCTCCATAAGCTCAGGCTGTTTTCTTTGGAGCAGGGAAGGCTGAAGGGGAACTGATAGAGGTGTGTAAGTCTATGAGGTTCAGGGACGGTTGTGGGGGAGGGGGGGGATAGCGAGCAGCTGTTCCCCTGAGTGCAAGGGTGAATAATAAAGGGAGCATCATTTTAAAGTAGAAGGCAGGAGGTATAGAGGGTGATTTGAGGATTGTTTCACCCAGAGGATGGTGGGTGTTCCGGACTGCACTGCTTGGGAGGGTAGTTGAGGCTGGAAACCTGATAACCTTTAATAAGTACTTGGATGAGCACTCAAAGTGTCAAAACATTCAAGGTTATCAGGGGCTGGTACGAGAAAGTGGGTTCGGTGCAGGGAGCTCAATGGGCCAATTTCTTCCACCCTGTGTGACTCTCCATAGCGGCAGGGAGTTACGTATCTGCAGGGGTTAGTCAGTCTGATGCTAACCGTGTACCTCACACAGGGCTGATGTGGTAAAACTTCCCAGTGAATTTGTTAATGTGAGCCGGATATTGTTGTTGGATTTCAGCTCGGAGTTATTCCACGGAGATCGCGGCCTCGCTCGTCCCAGTTCTGATGTTCGCCGGCCTGATCGCGTCGGCGTGGTTCATCCACCAGAGGAGGGACACAGGTCAGTAACGTCCCACGGGGATGGGATTTGTTCCCCGTTCCCCGTCCCCACGTCATGGCACTGCCGTCCCTGCCCCAGTGTAAACTTTTCAGCTGAACAGGGTGGGGGGACCCGGGGAAGGAGGTGATGGGTCAGGAACTGGGGAAGACCGTGTTCCTGACAGTAGGGAGGGAGATCAATCACAAAGTTAGCCTCCTGGATCGGGTAAATATGACCAATATCCCCACTCCGTGTCACCTCAGAGAAAAGGAGAGACATAAGATCATGTGAACCAGGAACAGGAGGAGGCCATTCAGCCCCCTCGAGTACCTTCCGCTAATCCTAACTGTAAGCCTAAACTCAAACCTAATCTTAAACTAAAACCTAGTCCTAAATCCAACCCTAATACTAACTCTAATCTTGGCTCTCAGCCAAATGCTGACAAAACCCTGACACTAACCCTAAACTTAAACCTAATCCTAACCTGAACACTAAGCCTCACCCCAACCCTAACCTTAACTCAACACTAAACCTCAACCAATCCTTAACCCTAATGCTAAACCTAACCCTCAACCAATCCTTAACCCTCATTCTAACCTGAACACTAAACCAATCCTTAACCCGAACCATAACACTTAACTTTATCACTAACCCTAACCCTCGCCCTCACTCTAAACTTGGCTCTCACTCACACATTAACCCTAACCCTCACCCTATCCCTGTCACAACTGGTTAATGCGCATTAACATTGGTTTGACAAATCTCATCTATTGCTGTATTTGTTCTCTGTTTATGACTGAGAAAAGGTCTTTGCAGCTCCTATCTGTAACAGTGCAATATGCTGAGAATGTTCTCTCTCTCCCTGCAGGCAATTCCTCAACTGTGTCACAGCCCAACAGGTAAGGGGATGAAACTGCAGCTTTTATATTTTACGTTGTTATCCCAATTCCTCTTAGGGAAAGAGTACGAAGAGGGAAACTTGAGGATTACCGTATCCTTTTAACATGAGCCTAACAAACCAGGAAACCATACTCCTGGAAAGTCCCAGGTGGCTTTTATTCATTCACAGGGATGTGGGTGTCACGGGCAGGGCCAGCATTTATTGCCCATTCCTAATTGCTCCAGAGGACAGTTTTGTTAACCAGCTTCTGGAATCACATGTAGGCCAGACCAGGTAAAGACGGCAGATTCCCTTCCTCAAACGACATTAGTGGAAACCAGATGGGGAATTGGGCAGCTCCTTGAGGGTGAGAAAGCTCCATGTTCGGATGGAAACCAGGGACGTGGGACCAAGGAATAATAGGGTCTCACTGGGCTTTGTAGTTTCTGTGATAGCTTTGCTGTTTTGTTGAAGCTGAGCGTGGTTTTGAAAGCGTTGTGTTCGAAATAACAACTTTCTTCCCTTCCCCTTTCTCCTGGAAATAGATCCCAAGCTTCTGGTGAAGGGGCAGCAGCCGACAATCTGGAGTATGCAGTAATCGGAGCAGCACACAATGCTGGTGAGTGCTATTGAATCGGTGTGATTAAAGAGCCCCACACAGTGACGGTGCACCATAACCTGGGAGGAATTCTGGCCAAAAGTTCCAGCCGTCAGATGGGCTAGAATGGGGCGGTTTTCCTTGGAGCTGTGGAGGCTGAGGGGTCAAGACAGAAGCTAGGAAACAGGACTAGGCCATTCAGCCTTTCTATCCTGTTCTGCCAATCATTATGATCACGGCTGACCACCTAACTCAGTCCCTGGTTCCAATAGAAATGAAGAGGCCATTCAGCCTGTCCATTGCCCCACCCATTCGATAGGATCACGGCTGACCATCCAACTCAATCCCTGGTTCTCTGCTTTCTCCCCCAGACACTTCAATCCCTTTCACCCTCAAAGATGCCAACTCCTCCTCGTTTGAGATATATAAAATGATAAGCGGCAGACATACGGTAGACAGGAAGAAACCTTTCCCCCTTCTTGGAGGGATCAATGACTGGGGTGTTGGAGGGAAGAGTTTGAAGCTCAGGGGCAGGAGGTTTAGAGGGGGATGTGAGGGAAAATGTTTTCACCCAGATGGTGGTGTGGAATTTGGAACTCACTGCCTGTCAGGGTGGGAGAGGCAGAAACCCTCATCACATTGAAGAAAGATTTAGATGCGCACTTGCGTTGCCAAGGCTATGGAGCCACGTGCTGGGGAAATGTGATTAGAGACTAGGGAGGTGGTTGCTTTTGACTGGCACAGACCTGATGGGCTGAAGGGCCTTCTTCTATGCTGTAGACCTCTATCTTCAACCAGTGTCTTTCCAGCCAGCTCCTGCTGTTAATATCCTGTGATTAGACCTCCATCAGGGTGTTTTACCTAACACACCAATGCTTATTTTATTTCAGTCACATTGGAAACTGAGGGCGCAGTACTCTGGTGTTGAGAAATCCAACTGATGTTGGTTATAATAAGCGATTTTGTGCAAAGGTCCAGTTCCTCAGACACACATTTGCCCTGAGCAAATGATAATGAAGAGAAGCACATTTCCTGTATAGCAGTCTTTTGAGTAGTCGTAGTAATGATCCCAAATGATATCTATCTGTATGCATGTTTATCTATCTGTGCATCTTTCAATCCAGATATGACCAAAGGACCATAAGATATAGGAGCAGAATTAGGCCATTCGGCCCATCGAGTTAGCTCTGCCACTCGATCATGGCTGATATGTTTCTCCATCTCATTCTCCTGCCTTCTCCCCGTAACCCTTGATTCCCATTATTAATCAATAACCTATCTATCTCTGTTTTAAAGTATCTGTCTGTCTATCTATTTATCTGTCTGTCTGTCTATCTGTCTATCAAATCTATCTCTGAAATGTGTCTATCTATCTCTCGAATTTATTATCCATCTATGAATTGATTATCTGTCTCTCTATCTGATCGATGTGTCATTTAGCCCAGTATAATGAAGCTGTCTGATTGATGTGTGTTTCCCGTATGCACTTTACTTCTTTGTAGAAAACACGGCTGCAGATCTGGTTTATTCAGTGGTCACCATCAAGAAGAGAGCAGATGCTGGTAAAGATCTCATTTCTTCAATGCTACAATTGAGGGGGGAGGGGCGGATTATTTCAGTTCCGACAGTAGCATGATTCCAGCTGCCATGGAAATGTCTGTGTGTGTGGCCAGTTCTGAACAGAGAAATACCACAGTGCTTGCAGTGACAGGAGTGTGAGGGAACAGAGGGTCTGCCAAAAGAAATCTCCAACATTTATGAGGGAATGGACAGTAAACCAGCCAAACAGAAACAAGACCCAGATCCTCTGCTCTGTCCCTTTGTTCTTCTGCAGACAGGGTAAAGGGTTTGGAGATGATTTGTATGTCATCAGTGACCCAGAGCAAACACACAGAGCAATCAGAAAAGGAATGGCCTAATGGTATTATCACTGGACTGTTAATCCAGAGACCCAGGTAATGTTCTGGGTTTGAAACCTGCCACAGAATTTGAATTCAATAAATGCCTGGAATTAAGAGTCCAATGACCATGAAACCATTGTCGATTGTTGTGAAAAACCCAACTGGTTCACTAATGTGCTTTAGGGAAGGAAACTGCCATCCTTACCTTGTCTGGCCTACACGTGACTCCAGACCCACAGCTCTGTGGTTGACTCTGAACATCCCTCCAGGCAGTTTGGGCTGGGAAATAAATGCTGCCAGGCTAGGGACGCCTTCATTCTGTGAATGAATGAAAAAAATATAGTTGTATGTGTTTGTGGTTGGGTTACAATGGTGGTTTCTTCCCAAATACTTTTTTGCATATGTATATACATTCTGTGTGTGCAAAGGGCAATGGGACATGCATTTTATCTGTAATTAAGGCAGACATAGATAATTTTGACATATAACTAAGAACTGCAGATACTGGATATCTGAAATAAATTCAGATATTTCTGGAGAAACTCCACAGGTCTGGCATCATCAGTGGAGAGAGAGAAAAAAATGTCCTATTTTCTTTACATAATCAAGGCAGATATGCCAAATGCTACTACCCGTGATTTGAGATGAGAGAGAATATAAAGGCACTGCATATCATATTTTTGCTCAGGAAGATGAGCTTGCAATTATCACACGGATACCTGTGAAAAACCACAAGGGGCATTTGAACAGAACTTGGCCTTATGTACAATGAAATCTGTCTCTCTGAACACAATCTAATCATTGTCTGAAGGGAATGAACAGCAAAGATCATATTCTATCAGACCATCTTCCTACTCTCTTATTAGAGAGAGAGAGAGTGTGGGGACTGGATGGTATTCTAATTTGTCAGTCACCACGCATCAGGAGTAGAGAAAGGTTCAAAAGGAGCATTTTTCAGGGACCCTCAGCTGTTCTGGGAATTGTACCCATGCTGTTGGCATGTAATGCATTCCAAAAAACAGCCATCCAGACAAATGAGCTATCTGGAACGAGCAGCATATAGCAGCTAAAACACAAATGTATGTCATCTGCATGGTTCACTCCTGTCTTTACAAGTACAACAGCTGGGCAAGTGATGCAAAGGCTGGTAAGATTAAGATGGCCGGCTGAAGATTTTGCAATGACCTGCATCCTAAAAACTGACCCTCTGTCTTATTGACCTGAATGTAAATTGCAGGCTTTAGCCAGAGCAAGGTTTCTAAATTCAATCTTCTGAAGTTTCTGGTTTGATTGAGAGGGACAATTCGGAAAGCGTTGCACTGATATCTTTTAAAAGATGACTAAGACACAGCTCTGCTTTCGAAAGATTCAGCTACATCTTTCAAGTTGATCAGCCTTCACTGAGTCCAGATCGAATTGTAATGTCTCCAAAGGGTTCCTTCTCATCTCATTCTGTTTTATTTTCAGGCAGCAATGTTGGTTTCTCCTCCAATGGGAAGAAGGTATGTTACATTTTAAGTCTAAATGGGCCACGGCTATTGCCACAGGAACTGCAGGTAGATTTATACCTTTCATCCGGAGTGTAAAACATTAACTATTGGTTCATATCAGACTGATCACAGGAAACAGCTTAGAAAGTAAGAGCAGGAGTTGGCCATTCAGCGCTTCCAGCCTGCTCTCCTCATTCAAAAGGATCATCCATCTCAGTCCCCTGTACCCCTGCTTTCTCCCTTTAGCTTTTAAGAACTCTATCCAAATCCTTCTTGAAAAACATTCAATGTTCTGGCCTCGACCGCTTTCTGTGTCAGGGAATCCCACAGGCTGCCCAATCTGAGTGAAGACATTTCTCTTCATCTCAGTCCTAACCCAACTCCTTTAGACGGTGACCCCCTGGTTCGGGACTCCCTCTCGGTCATCAGGAACATCCTTCTTGTGTTTACCCTGTGCAGTCCTGTTAGAATTTTACAGATTTCTATAAGATTCCCCCCTCATTCTTCCAAACTCCAGTGAATATAATCATAACCGATCCAATCTCTCTTCATCTGTCAATTCCGCCATCCCAGGAATCAGGAAACCTTTGCTGTACTCCCTCTGTATCCAGAACATCTTTCCTCAGATAAGGAGACCCCAAACTGCACACACAATACTCCACAGGGTGGTCTCTCCCTGTACAAATGCGGCAAGACATCCCTGCTCCTGGATTCATATCCTGTCACTCTGAAGGCCAGCATCCCATTTTCCTTCTTCACCACCTTCTGCCCCTGCAATGCTCACTTTCAGTGACTGGTGTACGGGGGACACGCAGGTCTCATTGCATCCTCTCCTCTTTCCAATCCATCGCCATTCAGACAATAATCCACCTTACTGTTTTTTGCACTTAGTTGGATAACCTCACACTGATACACATTAACCTGCATCTGCTGTGCATTCGCCCACTGATTGAACTTGCCCAAATCACGCTGAAAAATCTCTGAAACCTCCTTCACAGCTCCCCCTCCCTCCGAGCTTTGTGTCTGCCTTTAAACGCAGTAGAAAATACCCAGCACTGCTTTATCGATGGAGTAGGTCTCTCACTGTTTCACATTCCACTTCCAGTGCCTAGGGATAAGTGAGTTTCAAAATTGTGACAATACTGGTATTGTTCCAGTTCCTGCCTGTACATAATTAAAATATTACTGATAGTGACATTAAATTGTTGCCACTTTGTTGTCATTTGCACCCAATTGGTAGCTGCAGTGTGCACCATTTACAAGATGCACTGCAGAAATTCACCAAAGATCCTCAGACGGCACCTTCCAAACCCACGACCACATCCATCTAGAAGGACACGGGCAGCAGATACATGGGAACACCAACCGGTGTAGGTCCCCCTCCGAGCCACTCACCATCCCAACTGGGAAATATATTGGCCATTTCTTCAGTGTCACTGGGTGAAATCCCAGAATTTCTTCCCTAAGGGCATTTTACCTACCGTACAAGGCACTGCAGCAATTCAAAAAGACAGCTCACCACCACCTTCTCAAGGGGACACCGAGGGACAGGGCACTAAATGCTGGGCCCAGCCAACGATGTCAACATCCATGAGTGAATGGGACCAATGTCAATACCCCCTCAGCCTTCCCTGCTCCCAAAAAAAACAACCCGAGCTTATCCAAACTCTCTTCATCACTGAAAAGCTCTGTCCCAGGTAACATCTTGGTGAATCTTCTCTGCACCCACTCCTGTGCAATCACATCCTTCCTATAGTGTGGAGATCAGAACTGCACACAGTGCTCCAGCTGCAACCTCACCAAAGTCCTGTACAGTTTCAAGATCAACTTCTCACTTTTATAATCTATATGACAAACCTCAGGAGCAGGTAGAACTTGAATTCTGACCTCCTGACTCAGAGGTAGGGACAGTACCACTGTACAACCAGATTTCTAACTCACAGGCCCTGAACTTCCTGCTGGTGTTTCTTGTTTTCCCCGGTACTCACTCCTACCTCTACTACCAACTGACCTGTTCCTCCTCTTCAGCTTCCTGCTTGCGCTCTATTCCAATTCCATTCCAATATCATTCCAATTGCAGGATGCCAAGTCTGACCCCGACGACTACTTTGTCACATACGCCACATTGAACCTCAGCGATCTTTCGGAGGGAGAAGACAGAGCGGATGGAAACGTTTATGAGAATATTCTGCTCTACTAAGAGGGAAGAAAACAGACGAGAGGCGGGTCGTTTGATTCTATACACCATCTGATTAAGACGTGTAATGTTAGTCCCATATACCAATAACAAACTTGTGAACTTTGCAATGGAAACTGTGTTTCACAAGCTGTTTGATTCCACTCATTTTCGGGTTGAGAAGCTACTTTCATGTCGCTGCATCTGTCAATCTATTCTGCACCTTGTGTACAGCTGGGTTTTGAATTTACCAAACTATTTCGGCTGCTGGTGGTCTTTGGAAATTTAATACATGCCTCTCCTTCGTTCTCATGTACATATCTGAGGTTTGAGCTTTTCAGTTGGTGCATGTTTAAGGGGAGGAATACATCATCTGCCCCTTTCTGTGCATGGACGATCAGGAATCTATCCCATTCTAACCGGCTTTGAACAGGAATTGTCAGACGGATCTGACAGGCGGAAGATATGAAAACAGAAACCAGCAGTTTCAACGGTTACTTTCCAGGGTGAAAGAGACCTGGGGTGCGGGGTTTGAACATGCAATTTCTGGCCCCACAGAAGGAACAGAAGCTGAGTCGCAAACCACTGATGAGCTGGATAGACGAGGTATGGCTGAAAGGGAGTCACTACAGAGAAGATTACATCTCCCAAAGATCTGAAACCTCTGCCAGACACTTCAGCCCAGCTTTCCCAGAGTCCAAAACCCGTTGTGGGAACTGGAATGGATAAGATTTCTCTCGCTGCAAATATTTAGAAATGCCACGTTGTGTGGGTTGGGTTTCACAAACCTCCAGAGCGGCAGACTTCAGCTTGAACGGGGAAGCCATGGCCTGGTGGGATTATTGGTGGACTGTTACTCCAGAAACCCCAGTAATGTTCTGGGGATCCGGGTTCGAATCTGACCATGGCAGATGTGGAATTACGAGTCTGATGGTGAATTGTTAGAAAAATCCATCTGGTTCACTAAAGTCCTTTAGGGAATGAAAGTGCCATCCTCACTTGATCTGACCTACATGTGACTCCAGACCCACAGTAATATGGTTGACTCTTAACTGCCCCTAGCCAGCAAAGCCGTCATTCCATGAATTTAAAAACATGGGTGTCTTATTCTGGAGGTACAGACAATATCACTGCACCACAAAAAGGCTCAGCTTAATGGAAATATAGGCTTTGGAGTAAATGTTAAGATTTTAAAACCTACACCATATGGATCTAACAACTGCTGTCCACCAAAAAAGGAGCAGTACATGTCTGATTACAAACCGATAAACACCATCAGGGACAACAACAGCGTGAGGGCCGAAGGTTCTGGTCAATAGGTGCCACATATCTTTGAATGGAACAGCAGGACTATGCTGATGAATAGTTAAGCATTAGAGCAAGTTCGGATGGTGACTTTTTTTAAACACGGTGGCCCCTCGTTCAGGCAAATGATGTAGAGCTTTGCCAGAAAAGACAGCACGTGTGCCCCTATTCATAGAGCTCATAGAGTCATACAGCATGGAAACAGACCCTTCAGCCCAACTCGTCCATGCTGATCAGGTTTCCCAAACTAAACTAATCTCATTTGCCTGCATTTGGCCCAAATCCCTCTAGACCTTTCCAATCCATGTACCTGTTAATCCAGAGATCCAAGTAATGTTCTGGGGACTGGGGCTCAAATCCTCTCATCATTGATGCTGGTATTTGAATTCACTTCAGAAAAATTGTGGAATTAACAGTCTAATGGTGACCATGAAACCATTATCAATTGTCAGGAACAATACCATTTTGTTCACAAATGTCCTTTAGATCATTGCATCTAGACCTGGTCTGGCATACATGTGAATCCAGACCCACAGCAATGTGGTTGACTCTTAACTGGCCTCTGGGCAATTAGGGATGGGGAATAAATGTTGGCATAGCCAGTGATGACAACATCCTGTGAATAAATTTTAAAATACTCCGCAAGGCCCTACCATTAACTGTATAAGCCTTACCAAAATGCAACACCTTTCATTTATCGAAATGAAACTCCATCTGCCACTCCTCAGCCCATCAGCCCAACTGATCAAGGTCCCCTTGCACTAAAATCATAGAATCATATAGTAATACAGCATGGAAACAGGCCCTTTGGCCCAAACTGTTTCGTGCTGACCACAGCGCCCACTCAGCTAGTTCCACTTCGTCTATAACCCTCTAAACACTTCCATCCATGTACCTGTCCAAATGTTTTTTAAATGTTGCTATTGTACCTGTCTCAACCACTTTCCTTGGCAGCCCTTTCCATATACGCACCATTCTCTGCATGAAGAAGTTGTCCCTCAAGTCCTTCTTAAATCTTTCCCCTCACACCTTAAACCTATGCCCTCTAGTTTTCAATCCCCCATCCCTGGGAAAAAAGACTATGTATTCATCCTCTCTATGTCCCTCATAATTTTGTACACCTCAGTAAGGTCACCCCTCATTCTCCTACGTTCCAAGGAATAAAGTCCTATCCAGAATTTATAACTCAGGCTTACTAGTCCTGGCAACATCCTTGTAAATCTTCTTTGCACACTTTCCAATTTAACAATGTCTTTCCTCTGAAAGGGTGACCAAAACTGTACACAATACTCCAAGTGTGGTCTCACGAACCACTTATACAGCTGTAACAAAATGTTCCAACTCCTATACTCAGTGCCTCGGCTGATGAAGGCCAGCATGCTAAATGCCTTCATCACCACCTTGTCTACCTGTGACGTGGCTTTCAACAAACTGAGTACTTGTACTCCTAGGTCCTCTCTTCCACAACACTCCTCAGGACCTTACCATTTACTGTATAAGTCCTCCCCTTGGTTTGATTTTCCAAAGTGCAAAACCTCACACTTGTTTATATTGAATTGCATTTCCAAGTCCTCTGCCCATTTCCCCATCTGATCAAGGTCCCTTTGATATTTTTAGTATCTTTCCTCACTATCAACAATACCTCCTAATTTAGTAGCATCTGCAAACTCACTAATCATGCCTTGTACGTTCACATCCAGATCATTTATGTAAATAACAAATAACAAAGGTCACAGCACAGATCCTTGTGTCACACCACTAGTCACAGGCCTCCAGTCTGAGAAACAACCATAAACCATTACGCTCTTCTTCCATTGAGCCAATTTTGAATCCAATTACCTAGCTCTCCCTGGATTCCATGCAACCTAACTTTCATGACTAGCCTGCTGTACGGGACCTTGTCAAAGGCTTTACTAAAATCCATATAGACAACATCCTACCCTCATTTATCCTCTTGGTTACCGCTTTGAAAAACTCTGAAAGATTTGTCTGACATAACGTCCCACGCAGAAATCCATGCTGTTTATCCATCATCAGACCTTGACTATCCAAATGTTGGTTGATCCCATCCCTCAGTTTCCTCTCCAATAATTGCCTACGACTGATGTCAGGCTCACTGGCCTGTAGTTCCCTGGCTTGTCTTTGCTCAATTTCTTAAACAATGGACCAACGTTAGCCGCCCTCCTGTCTTCCGGAACGTCACCAGTGGCTAAAGATGAAGCATCTCTGAGATAATCTTCTTCATTGTCCACTAGACCACCCAATTTGTTGTCATCTGCAAACTTATGAACCATACCTCCTGTATTCACATAAAAATCATTTATATAAATGAGGAAAAACAGTGCACTCAACACCAATCCTTGCTGCACACCGCTCTCCAATCAGTCATATAGCACGGAAACAGATCCTTCAGCACAACCCTTCCATGCTGGCCCAGTTTCCTAAACTCAACTAGCCCCTTTTGCCTGTGTTTGGCCCATATCCATCTAAACCTTTCTTATCCGTGAACCTGTCCAAATATCTTAAATATTGTAATTATACCCACCTCTATCTCTTCCTCCAGCAGCTTATTCCATATACACGGCAACCTCTGTGTGAAAAAGCTGCCCCTCAGGTCTCTTTTAAATCTTTCCCCTCTCACCTTCAATCTACGTCTCCTAGTTTTGGACTCCCCTACCGTCAGTGTAAAGACTTTGGTTATTCACTTTATCTATGACCCTCAAGATTTTATGATCTTCTATAAGCTCACCCCTCAATTTCCTATGGTCCAGGGAAAAAAAGCCCCAGCCTATTCAACCTCTACTTATACCCTTCAGTCTTGGTAAAATTATTGTAAATCTTTTCTGCACTCTTTCCAGTTTAATAACATACTTACTAAAGGAGGGTGACCAGAATTGTACGCAATGCTGCAAACATTGCTTTGCCAATGCCTTGTACAGCCATGAAGTGACATCCCAACTCTTGTTCTCCTTGCTGTTTTCCCAATCCATAGCCATTCGGATAATAATCTGCCTTTCTGCTTTACTCCCAAAATGGATAACCTCACGTCGATCCGCATTAAACTGCATCTGCTGTGCATTTACCCACTCACTTAACTTGTCCCAATCACACTGAAGCATTTTTGCATCCTCCTTCACAACTTCCCCTCCCTCTGAACCCTGTGTTGAGATTGAAAACGAAATGAAAACATATTGGCACAGTATTTATTCAGCAATTGAAATTTCCATTCACAGATCGTGTACATTGGGATGGGTTTAATCTATTACTGCGTTACTGTAAATGTAATTTCTTTATGGCTTTTGCTTTTGTACACAATAACGCTGCATTCGGTGATGAACAAAATTCCGGTCCATAATAAATTGGTAGATTTTTTTTAAATCGAGGTATGTTGGTTGATCTGATGTGACACAGTTATCAGTGAATATGTGTGTGAGAGAACAAGAGCACGATAAGAATTTTTTTTTGTGGTAATGAGAGTTTGAGAAACTGTGTGTGTGAGAGAGTGTTTGAAATTCTGTGTGAAATAATGTGAGTTTGTACGAGAGTGTGAGCACGGACTGTGAGTGCATGTGAATCTGTGTGAGTGTGTTCGTGATTGTGACAGACTGTGTTCCTGATTCTGTGTGTATGGATGTGAGGGACCCGATGTGAGTTTGTGAATAAATTTGAGTGATCATGTGTTTGTGTGAGAGACAGGGTGTGTGTGCAAGTTAGTGTGA